AGAAAATAATTGTCATTAAAGAAAATGTCTTAGCATTCTCATTAGTGAGACAGATTCTCAAAACAAGGTAACTAAATTCAATTACGTTTCAATCATGGCTGTTTGTACAGAGAAGTTAATGTTGATGCTAATGAAGCCTTAACATGTAAGGGAGACTGAGTTGACTGTTAGACTGAGTTAGAATGAACTCTTCTAGGAAAGCGGAAGGAAAGCACTATAACTGTTTATATTTCTATTAGTGGTAAAAATGGTGATAGGGTTGTCTGTGCTTCCAGATATTATGGAGGTTGTCCAGGATACATCACTTCCAAATACAGCTTTTTGGCTGCCTCCCACTCATAGCTAAACTTAGTTTGATCCTGTGGTCAAATTTTAGCAATAATCTTTTTTTCTTTTTAATTCATAAAAGCATTTTATTTGGGATATATATGGTACTTCACAGTCTTTGAATATTTTAACATGCTGACGTTAAAGATGTTGCTTGGTCTCAAGGTTCCCCTTAGCCCAAACTGTGTTTGGAGACTGCTGTTCAACAGAACCACCTTCTTGTGTTGTTGCTTTTTTATGTCTTACCTAGACTTTGACTTGAATTGATACTGTACAAGACTACAGTAAAGTTTTGCACTCAGATATACCATAGTGCATCCCTTTTAGTTACTTTCTTTGATGATTCATTTACTTTGCAAATGCATATTTAGTGATTTGATGCAAAGGAACAGCTCTTTTCCTTACTCTCAGAAAAACAGTTGCTTGCAAATGCAACATACAGAATTAATTTGTACTAGCTGGCATGGCTACTAAGAAGAAACTGTGAGGGTGTTTTTTACACCATGACCACTCTGCACTAAACAGTTTTAACAGGTCCTTGTAATGATTGCCCCACATTTAGGGTTGATGGATAAAATTTAGCATTAGTTTATTGCATTTTGTGGGCATTTCACTAAGTCTGCCATTTTTGTATACCTCTTGTGAGGGAAGGACTTGCCTGGGCTTAAATTAACTAACTATAAGATATTGCAGTGCTGTGAAATTCAGCACAGTACAAGATGAAGAATCTCTTGTGGACAAACACTAGGACAGTCAGAGAGTCCTGTGCAATTTTAGCTACTGGCCTGTCTGTAACTGGGACCAAAGCATAGACGTTACCTAGTGACTCAGCTGTCAGCTCCATTCTGTCTTCCTTCCTTCGGATGAATTTGCAGTAATTGAATTTTACTATTGGGTTTCACAAGCTCGCAGTTACATATGCGTAAGACATAACAAGCCTAACCTCACAGTGCTAACACGGTCTGCGAATAAGCTGCAGCCAGGGGAGGTACCATAGACTTCCTTCTTTTCACAGCTGCTGTTTTTATACAGCAGTAATCTCCATTCCATGCATTTGCAGTTTTCGGGGTTTAATTTATATGTGAATTTAGAGGTACATAATTGTTTCTCTTCCACATGGAAACATCTAGTAACAAACTGTTAAACTTACTAGTGTTTTTCTCATTTTATTTTGTGTCTCACTTATCCTGCTGGTTGAGAAGTATGTCACTGGGCATGCAATAACAGAGCAGGAATATTTAGACTTTTCAAGAAGACTGCAAACTTCTCATTTTTTTTTACTTTGCTTTGCTTTATTTTGTTTTTTTATTCATATAGACAATGAATGGATTTTGTTTAGGCCTATCTAAACTCCATAAGGAAGCTAAAAAAAGTGTTTTTCTGATGTAATCATTGTGCCTGTAAAAACACTCTACCTGAGCAAATGTCAAATTACAAGGATCCCTATTATCTTCTGGATCTCCCCACTTCACAATTCTCCTTAGTTATTGACTCTAGATTTGCCCAGAATAGCCCAGAACTGCCCCAACACTATTGCAAAGAGAAAGCACAAAAAAGTCTGAAGAGCAGAATTTCCCGTAAAGATACAAGAAATTTCATATTTCAATTGCAAGAATCAATGACAGCAGTTCTCAATAAAGCTATTATTCATGTAGTGTGATGACATTCACAAGGGACTTTCACAGTTTTGTGGAATATTATGTCTTTGTCCTGAATTCCTGCCTTGCCTGTGGCACCTCCTACAGTCCCCAGTCACGCCCAGGACTACACAAATACAGGTGGTACTTGCTTTAGGAAATTTATAATGTATCAAAACATATCTTCATAGTATTGTCTGTAGATACAAATGTAGACATGGACATGTATTAGGCTTAGATTTGATATTTTATCCTGTATAGCTTTGCTTCTTCTTAAAGGAAGTCTTTTTCTTTTTTCTCAACTTGGCATATTTCATTGAGAGCAGATGCTCTGGGTTTTCCTGCGTTCTGCCTCTTTCTAACTGGCCTGATCCCAAGCACTCTTGAATTTTATGAAACCACATCCTTCTCAGTCTCTCCATTATGAGAGTGCTCTTGATACTTCTTCCCTGTTCAACACTGGTTAGCCTGCTGCACTTAGCTCCTGCCCTCACCTGTGGAAAGGCTGCCTTTTCACTATCTGCACTCTCTGCGTTTTGCCCAGGGAATTGTCTCAGCAGCAGAACTGATGAGGTAGTGATGGAAAGGGGGTAGGAACCCCTACGAAGATCCTCCCACAACCCTCTTTGCCAGGAAAAAAAAAGAGCATGGATAAAAGTAAATGATGTAATAGCCTTTTCTGCCACAGAGCAGAAGGTGTAACTAAACCCTGAGGGACATAGAGGTAATGTTGAAAAGATCCTTAGTGGATCTTTAATACATCTTGATAAAAATTAGTGGCTGAAAGACAAATATTGCAGCGTGGAAATAGTGATATGGGGCAGTGTAAAGAGAGTAGGTGGGGCACAAGCTTGGACTTGAAGTAAGCAGGCATATGGGCCAAATTAATTTCTGGTGTAATTGTATATTAATGGTTATGTTAGCATACATATGACATATCGAGAGATTCTTAATTAATATTTAATTTGTGAATTAATGAATAAATCAAATATATATAATCTAAAACACGTGAGAAAGTGTTTGTTATTTCTATTGTACTAGATGTGGTACCAATAGCTTTTACTGTGGATAATATTCATCATTTCTCTATTATGAATACCAGTAGCTAATAATCTGCTCACCTTAATAAATATGTTACCATAGCCTAAATGGATTAATATACTATATAACTTCTATAAATTTGTACCCAAGTTATATATAGACACTTATATGTATATGGGCATATATGTGTGATAGGTTTGTTTTTTTTTTCTACTAAGGAACTGATGAAATGTTCATATAATTAGTTTCATAGTCTAATTTTTTTGCAATGGTTTTAACCGAAGGAAAAGAAGAATTAGTTATGGAAAGAAAAGAAGAAAGGGTCTGGTTTACATTTTATTTGATTGCTGGGAAATGACAAGTGAACTTTCTGTAGCTAATTAATTTTGTTACAGACGTTTCTAGTTCATACAGCCACATTCTAAGCAGGGGCAACTGCCCCAGTGCCATTGACTTCCAGGTTTCTAGTCCTCAACAAGTGTAATAAATGACTCCCAAGTTACATGTGATTAGAAGTGATTCCTGCAGTAATACATTCTGAGAATCAAGGAACACACTCAGGAATTCTGCTATAGAACAAAATCCTCTCATAACTGATTATGCCAAGCTAATGATAACTAACTATATCAAACTAGTAATAATGCAAAACAATCATTAACTTCTGTTGCAAATGTACTTAGAAAACCTATTGTGATCTGGGACCCACGGAGATCTGGTTGCCCTGAAGATCTATACGTTTGCACAACAACATATTTGGCAGGTGAGCCGTAGTTGAACTGCAGTGATTTACCAGTTACTCATCTTGGCCCCTGCTGGAAATGATCAATGTCTCCTTATCAGCTTAAATAGTTCATAAAATGGGCTTGTGTTCGGGTCCTGGATTTTAAATTGCTGAGGCATTCTATTCTGGTGCTCATTTGTCAGGACAGTGTGGGAAGAGCTTATACACAGCTAGATCCCTGGCCTGGCTGAAGGCTACAACTGGATCTTCTGAAACAGCCAGCTCGGGGAAAGAGATAAGAAGTAGAATTAACTAATCTCAGACCAGTAAAAATACAAATACTGAAGATACAAAGAACGTTGTTACTTTAAAAGTAAAATCATATTTTGTACATTCTAGGTATTAGCAACACTGAATTCATTCAACTCAAGACTTAAGCAGAATTTCCTAATGAAGGACTATTCTACTGAAAATTCAGGTCTTTTTAGTCCTCTTACTCTGCAATCATCATACATCAGATTCCTCAAGGGATAATTATATGGGTACTGAGGAAGTGCGGATGATGTTTCCCCTGCCCTTGTCTCTCTCCCTATCTCTGACCCTCATCACATCTGTATTTAATATTGACATACTCTGTGCTCCCATGACACCACGAAGGAGAAAATGCGATCCTGGATAAAGGCTCCACTTGGTTGCAAAGTAAGAATTATGTGGCAAATCTGGTCACAGAAAAGGAGGTAGAAGCGCACACTACACCTCCGGAAACAGAGGGTGTGGATGCGTTACTCGTTTTCTCCCTTTTGTTCTCATTACTGCCTGGAAGGCCACTCTCTAAACGAGCCAGGCAGACTTCAAGAGCCCTGCCACAGCCCGGTAAAATCACGCCCCAGTTTAGGGCCGGGCTCAGGGTGGCAGCGGACGCGCCCGTCACCTGCCCGCACGCCCGCGTGGGTAGCCGTCAGGGGCGCGCAGCCTGCGCGGAGGCGGTCTTGGCCCGGCGGCGGCTCGGTGGCGCTCGGTGGCGCTCGGAGGCGGCCCGCCAGGTGGCAGCAGGACCCCGCGGGACGGTCTGTGCCGGGAGGGACCCGGGCTGTGCCCGCCGCCGCCGCGCGGCCGCGCTGCTGCTCCGCCTCTGCCCGCCTGGGGAAGGGGCCGCTGGAGCGCCCGCCCGGGGCACGGCGCTCCCCCCGCGGGGGCAGCGCAGCCGCCGCGGTACAGCCCGACCTCGGGGGGTTCCGCCGGCCCGGAGTTGGGGGGTCTGCGGGGATGCGGCTCCGGGTTTAAACTGCGCTCGAGAGTGATGTGCTCATCAGTTTGGTGCAATTAGCGCTATAACCCGTGCCAGCGCAACCCGCGGTAAAGACAAAGCTGTACGCAAATCTCCTTCCCCTTGCCCATCCCCTGCTCCCGGGCTCTGGCGCCGTTCCCCAACCTGTTTTTAATGATACGGTGCGCGGAGTAACTTGAAATTAATTACAAGTTTCTTGACTAAAAGGCAGGGGGAGGCGGTGTCATCCGGCGGGTTCGGCACTCGGAGCCGTGGCCACCTGCGCGTGGCCGTCACGGGACAGGGGAACCCGGCTGCCGCCGCGGGCAGGGCTGCGGAGCCCGGCGAAGGTACGAATCGGGGCGAGGGCTCGGGGACGGAGGGCAAGGGGACGGACGGCTGCGGGCTGAGGAGGACCCGGGCGGGGGCGGTCTCTGCCTGCCTCCAGGTGGAGGAGTGCTTTTTGGGGTGGAGTGCGTGTGTATGTGTGTGTCCGCCTGTGTCTATGGGGAGCTTGTAGGTCTCCTGCCTAGGGCTCCGAATTTCCGTCTGCATGCTCTACTTTTTTTGAAGACCTACATGATTTCTTCTCCTAGAAGCTGGCTTGTTGCTTTCTGGCATATAGTTATCTAACTCCCATCCCCGAAGATAAGTGTTTCAAAATACTGAGAGGACTTGACTACAAAACGTGCTGTACTGTGAGGAGGATAGAAGGAAGGATGTGAGGGTAGTGAAATTCTTAAAAATACAGTAACTAGTTATTGTATTAGGTTATATATATGCATATGTTATATACATATATAATAGAGAATTCTGTGTAATCCAATCACAGGAAAAATAATAAGGGGACAGGACTTTCGACTTTCGACAGGACTTTCATCTGCATATCTCCTTTTCTGT